GATTTTGATTTTCTATAAGTTCCTTTTCGAAATTGTAGGGCAATTCCGCTCGCACCGCCCCCTCTTCTTCAGCGTCGTCGGCTTTTTTGTTAACACTCGGCGGGGTAATACGAACACTCATGCTGGCGTGCGTCGTGGCTGCCGCTGAAACAAATTGGTTGTGGCTTCGAAGGCGTTCGCCTGCACACTGACTGCCGCAGTTTAATTTCCACTTCCGTTGTGTGCAGTGGCGTTTCCTATGCAGTTCGTTTTTTGTTTTCCCACTAAACTTTTCGCATGCCACCACAAAACATTGCGAAACACATTAGGGGTATTCACGATTCGGTGCATTCGGTGTGTTCAAACAACAACAAAATTAGCCAATCATGCTATTTATGCTATCTATGCACCATGCTGGACAGTATGCACCGGATCGTGAATACCCCTATTGAGTTATGCCAGTAAAGCGGTAAATCACATTACCATGCACGAAAGAATTGTTTATCAAATGTTATTTTCGGCTTACACACACCTACATACATACATATATGTACATACCTCTGAATGTATGTGTGTAGTCGGAGTATGTATGCGACAAGCAGAATGCGTAAAAAATTAAGCTCTTCTGTATTTATGGCATTTGGCGCATTTGATTGGAGTTCATAGACCTATTCATACATGCTGGTGCAACTAGGCGTATGAGAAACTTTGAATTCAAATGAAAAAAAAAATTTAATAAATTGCTGTTGATATGCTGCTTCACCAAAATATCTGTCCTGCGGGATGCGAATGATATCATTATGAGCAAATATTAGTTGCGTTCCAGATGCTTCACGATATTCACGATTTGCAGAACAGCTGTTTTCTCCATTAATAAACCTTATGGAAGGTGGTCACCTGGAACGACTTCCCGTAAAAACCTGCAAATCGTGAAGCATCTGAAACGCAACTATTACGAAAGTTAACCCAATTTGCCACAGAGCGAAGGCGAGCTCGAATCAACTTCGTTACGACGTCGGTTTGGTAAAGTCGTTTTGGTAAACTCGAAACAACGTCAAATCGTGTTCATATTTCCATACAAAATTAAAAAAAAAAAACGGCTTTATATATTTTCTTTTAATTCAGATTTCTAAGGTTTGAAATTTTTAGGAATGTTTGCTGATTTGTTTTCTTAAATATTGCACACAATTTGAAATTGAATTTATATGGTTTTTGTTAAAGGTTTTGATCATCGTTTTGCATTTCGCTAGTACATCGTTTTTAAGGTTCGCCAGCGAATCGTTATTACGACGCGCCGGCGAGTCGTTTTACGGCCCGCGCTTTTCACCCGACGGCGAGGTCGCTGGGCATGGGAATCGCATCCATTTTCCCTTTCCTTATTTCCGCCATCAATAACATTGATAGCGTACACGATGTATAGGAACACTAAGTCGAAGACAAAGGCAAATACGAATTTGGAGACGAATATGAAGACGAATACAAACACAAACTCTAGCTCGAAAAATACACCAAAAACGAATAAAGGCCAATTCGAAGTCGATTACAAATTCGGTTGCGAAAGCGAAGGTGAATACGAATACGAAGACGAATTCGATGCCATACGAAGAAGAACAAAAAAGCGAATATTAAGTCGGATACGAAGATGAACTCACTGTAATTTACGGAGACTAATACGAAGTCGTATACGAAGACAAATAGTCTAATACGAAAACGAAGTCGAATATGAAGTCGATTGCAAATACGAATTCGAATATGATCACGAGTGCGTGAACGAATATAAAGGCAGAGAAGAAACCGAAGGCGAAGACGACTAAAAAGGCGAGTATGAAGTCAAATACGAAGACAAACACAAGTTCAAAGTCAGACCTCTCAGACCTGCCTTAACGGTACATTGTAATTAAGAACGACACTCTACTGTTTACATACAGACTCATCTCAGGGAACAATGCGGACGATTAAAAGCAATTAACTTCGCACATAACACGCTTTCCTCTTATAAAACCAACTGGGACAATGGTGATGCATATAAGATGCATTGATAAAGCAGTCATTGTATTTAATCGGAGCTTTTGCGTCCGATTTGTGTTAACTGGGCATTGAACAAACGGTCCCAAATCCGTTAATTGGTAGTCTAGCTCAACTATCGGTCTAGAAAACGTATTGTTTCGGCGTGGTCGGACCAAAAGTAGGTACATATGTATGTATCTGTTAGTTGAGTGGGTTTAACGGCCGTCGCTAAGTACGCTCAGTTTACTGATATACAGTATTGGCCAATACAATAGCACCTCCATTTCAAAGTGATATTGTTTCCCATTCATATTTATTTATTTATTTTTAGGAATTTTAAATTAAAATACAGTTCATTCTCTAACAAAACCCATATAAACCCAATTTTAAAACTTTGTAGAAAACTACAAAAAAATTCAACAAATTTGCACCTAAATTTCAAAATTTTTCTCATAAGTGTTAACATTTTTTTCAGTACGCATTCACATTTAGTCTACCAATGTGCAAGTTCCAAGGGGCTGAAAATTACCGTAGATTTTTTAGAATTTTTTCGCTGAAGGAGTTGCGGGTTTCTTCCATATATAAATACATTGTGTTTATTCGTTATATGGAAGCAAATTTGACAAAAAAAAATCTAAAACATCATCAGACTAAAACTGCGTACTCAAAAAAATTATAGCACTTCTGAGAAGAGTTTGAAATTTAAGTGACAATTTATTTAATTTTTTTGTAGTATTTTAGAAAGTTTAAAACTTGGGTTTATATGTGTTTTGTTAGAGAATGAACTGTACTTTAAAGGAAAATTCTTAAAAATTAATAATTAAACATAAATGGCAAACAATATCACTTTGTAATGGCGGTGCTATAGATATGGCCAATACTGTAAATATCTTTAGTCCGATAAAAATTATTATAAAACAATTAAAATTGAATTTGAAGTCGGTTGAAAACTTTGCTATTAAATAGCTTTTCGAATGTTGGTTTTGAGGAAGTCAACCAAATAAGTTTCGCAGTTATTTAATTTTTAAAAATAAATTCTTTATTATTTCGCCTTCACAGTTGTGCATACATTTAACATTTTATATAACTCTGTAAATACACATGTACATACATACATACATACATACATACTACATTCCGGCATACACACAAACAAATATACATACATACATACATACGTTGTGTTATACCGTGATTGTCCTTAATTATAATTACAAAGAAATGGAACTTCAGCTTTGGGGACACGTTTAAAAACCATTTATATATTTTCAAACTTGGTTAACTTCATTTTCATTTTCCCAATGATTAAAATATTTAGTTAAAAACAAAATAGAGATCTCGTCCCTTTCACTTCAGGCAATTTTATGCCGCACTGTGTACGGAATGTAGAAAAAGGGGCATTTAATTACTGCTATTTCAATANATACTCTCCTTGACCTGGTTTCAAATGCAAAATTTTATAATAAATATATTTTTTTTTTATATTAAACACTCATTTTTGCTTGTCCTTTACAACAATTTTTTTTTCTTTAACTAGACCTTAGCCCAGCCTGCTCGGCTATTGGATCAAAACCACGATACCTTTTGAAAATGGTTTTAAACTTCGTTGTAAGTCTTGGAAATTAATAGTTAAGTATAATAAACGCAATGCACCAATAAACCAGGACTGGCACCGATGGCAAATTTTATAACAGCGCTATGGGTAATATTCACGATAGGCGAATTTATCCAGGAACTTGGGTGCATCACAGGTGAATACTTCATAACCGCTACGCGTTTTCACTTTTGCTGTTGAATTTGTATGTTTGTACGTTGTGTAACTTTGTAGAGAGAGCCTCGTTTTTTCATGCAGTAGCGCCTCATTGAATTCGTAACGATGATTTGTGGTCTTACGCAAAATCGTTTGTACCAACTGCGCCCAAACCGAATCGCCACCACCAGCATTATCAGCTTTAGTAAGCTTCACATCTTTATTTTGGCTCTTAACGTACGATGACTTTTGATCGCCCTTTTTAGAGTTTCTATTTTGGCTCGTATCATCGGGATTAACTGTTTCTACCTGCTTACGTTGGCTTTCACTTTCTGCCATTAACGCTTGTAAGCGGTCAAATGTTTCAATCATTCGTTTTTTGAACTCCACAATTCTACGCACGTGAGCAAATAGCGGCAGCGGTGCATATTTTTGCCTCTCATTGCCTTCTTCAAATAGTCCTTGTATCTCGGTGTCATTTAGCAAAGGCTCGAAACTACGTTTCTTCTCGGAGGTACCATTAATAAGTATTTTTAATAGGAACTCTTGCATGGCAGTTGTGTTTACTAACGTCTGCTGATAGTCTGCATGCAATAAAGCCATTTGCCGAAGCATTAAACGCAGTGAAGCATCTTCAGCCTCATCGGTCATTGCCAAATCCCCAGTACCAGTGTTATTAAGTGCACTCAATACTCGGTCAAGCAATTTAAAGTCGCTATCGTCAAATTCAAGTATACCTAGCCTTGTTATCAACTCAATATTTGCATTATACTGCTGCTGCAACTCATACAGCTCCCAGAGTGTACGCGTCCGGCTTTCATACTCTTTTTGCACTGCGATTCCCAGTACTGCGGTTACATTTTTATGCAACAATTGTAGTCCCGTTATGAAGGGTGCATCCAGTGTAAAATTACGCATAAAGCCAAAAACATAGTGCAGCGCCAGATCTGGGTGCAGAAAATCATCGCGGTGCATACTGAAAAACTCGTTTAAATCTCTTACTGTTAAATGATTAGATGATACGCTTTGCTCTTCAACAACTTCCGCGGTACCGACGGAAGGGAGACTTGACTTTTGTTCATTCTTGATGCGTTCAAAATTCTCCACCAGCAAATCGCCTGCGGGATTGTCATACTCATCAAATACATCAATGTCAACTGGTGCGGTGGATTCAGCCTTTATTGGATTTTTTTCGTTGGATGTGTCCTTTATTGATTTTAGATTCTTTTTATTATTAGTAGACTGCTCTTGGCACAAATATTCTTCACGCAGTTCTCGCTCAAGGATCAATTTTTCACGATCGGATCTGAGCAAAGCTTCGTCCTTAAATATATCCAAGTCGAGACCGTCAATAATATCTTCCTTTATGTCGTGACAGCAATATAGCGCAGACATGTCAACTGGATGCGCTTCGGTGTTAAATATATAGGAACCTGCGTTTACGGCACACTCGCCATATGGAGTTTCCAAACGATCTCCTATGGCACCGTCGTTGTGTAGAAAATTCTCCTCATCGAAAAGGAGGTAAAGGTATTTAGTCGTTTCTGCGAGGAAGAATGATTCCATTCGGTTCTCTTTCTCATGGGTAACTACATTGCGTATCTGTGGAAAGATTTGAATGTTTCAGAATAGCATAACAACACAATTTGGTTATAGAAATATGTATGTAAATCATTTACCGTTGCATATCCACATCGTGTCTTAGCACTAAATTCAATTGTTTGCAATATGTCTTCACCCAACTCCAACAGAAATTGATTTTGCGTTGCTCGATATAGATACATCACCGACTCGATCAGTTCAGGACGTAAGGGATATACTTCTCTATTTGCGGAGGCTTCTCCTAGCGGTATGTTGAAAAATTCAGGCAGAAAGCCATATTTTCGCCAAACTGTACTGTACTTTATCAAAGTGCGCATTGCCGGTCCTATGTCGCCAAACATGCTTAGCACGCCGGGCCAAAAAGCTTCCAGGGATTGAAAAACTGGCAATGTCACCTGACCTTTATTCATGTTGGCCCACACGTACCAGTCATCTTTTTTCAGATATTTGTCAATATTTTTACGAGCCTCATGAAACATCTCCATCAATTCTGGCCGGTTGAGCATAATTGAACCCTTTACCAGATATTCAAAAAATGAATCAACACCTGCTCCAATACCAGAGTCAAATGCAGTCCAGCGTCCTGTTTGTACATCAATGTGGTTGCCAAAAAGGCCAATTGCCGAGCGGCGCTCCCACAAAGAGAAGACTGCATTGAGAGCAACATCTTCATAAATAGGGTTACCGGTGAGTCGACTGAGCGCACCAAACTCAACTAGAAATGTCCCCACGCCAGCCGTACACGTCACTGATGTTTCGCCTTTGGGTACACCGTATCGCAAATTGACTGTACCGTAGGGCATTCCAGTAGCTGTATCAAATGCTGGTAATAAACGTCTTGCCACGTCCTCCGCTAATCGTAGTAAGGATCCTTGACATGGCCACCCTGGCTCCAATGTCACACCGGCTCGTTTTGCCAGCATATGCGCTGAAAGCAAACCGCCCACAATTCGTATGTTTGTTTCGAAAACGGAAACGTTTATGTCTTTCTCGAAGTCCATGGTTTCCAGTAGTTTTACTACTCTTCGAAACTCGGTATAGTTACCCATAGTCGCCAGGGTATCTAACGCGTCAATTAGTGTCAGGGAATAGCTACCCCAGGTGTCAACGCCATCACACGTCAAGGGTCGCAGCTCGTCATAGCCGGCAGCGTGCTCCAAGTAACCCTCATAAGCATGCTGGAACATTGCTCGTACTTTTTCTCTGCAAAGTATAGTGTTATTTCAATTTTGAAAGCAAAAAGGAAAAGTGGTATGGAACCTTAGCTCAAGCACACGATCCTTTGAGTAAAACCTTACACCTTGCGTTTTGTATACCCCTTGAATTACTAAAAGATTTATAAATATTACCCTGATATTCCAATACCAAACATCCTTATGCATCTTATAAAGTTTTTAATATTATTGTAATAAATTGCAGAATAATCTAATTAGTAGTAGTTTTGCAGATAAATGAAACTGCCACACCGCAAAAACGGCTATGATTAGGATGTAAACAAACCAACAGCTGATGAACCCACTCGGTATGTTCACTGCGCGAAAGGTTTGGTAAAAAAAATACGAAAAATTTGGCACCCTTATAATTTTTAAATTTTGATTTACAGATAATATTTCACATGTTTTTATCATGATATTTCAAATAATGAACCCATTTGGGTTTGGAAAAAATTTAACCCAACCAAAAAACCCCTTACAAAATTTTTTTAAAATCGTTTCGGAGCCGTTGTTACCAAATGCAACTCTGTATGCGAACACTGAACATACCCTATGAAATAGAAATGTCAAAGATGGCGAATTGTTTTTCAAACTCTGAATATTAGTAAAATTAGTGAAGTTTTTACAAAAATACTTGTGTAAAATCACAATTTAAACTACAAAAAAGCCGTTCCATTTGCAGCATAGAAGTAAGTGTCTAATTTGCCGTATTTATACACATACTGATATCATTATTTGAGCCTTTTGAAATAAGCGTGCGGTAGCGTTTGTATTTTCGAATTAACACTACAAACATTTTTTGTGCCACCATAGCATAGAATTGTTCGCTTCCAAACACATATCCCACAGTTGGAATGGATTCCGGCCATTGGCGTTCGTTTTCCTTAATGGTATTATATCTTAGTCGACGTTAAAAACCCAGGTTTTCGCTTGATCGTACAACGTGTGCGCCTTGTACTGTAATCATTAATATGTACATACCTTTGAAACGTATTACATGACCTGCTCGAAGCAAGCAACGCGAAGGTGTGCTACTAGAGCGTTGTGAATGCTTCTTTTAGAAAAGTATTTGACTCGATTCTTTCTCTGGGTTTGGTAAATAAACCTGAGTAGGAACAAGAAACGGGTACTTCATCAACAAAAAAAGTTCCACAGTTGGTTTGAATAATGCTCATAAGTAAAAGGAAATTCCGGGATGGATGGGTATGGCTACTGCAGCAAGTTAAACTCGTACCTTAGCAGAATAAATGCAGATGTGCCAAACGAAGTCTCTCTGGGCATGCCCACTGAACCCCACCCTGCTAATGCCTCTGCCCTTATGGACAGACCCCATCGGTGCTGCACGCTTCCTGCGTATTCCGTCAGTAGAGCTTGACGACAATGATTGAGGTACTAACCGATCTGGGCGGGGTTGTAGCCGCTATGGTAAATGGTGGTGCAAGTAATAGCCATATTTTAGTAGTCTATTTCCAAAGCAATTATATACATGTATACCCTAAACTTAATAACAGATTATTGTGCCACTGAATATGTAGGTATGATTACGAATATCCAAAGGGAGATTTTTAAACGTAAACGATTGCTGGAACGAAGTACCACTCAAAAATGTGTAGAAGCACATTTCTCTAAGGTTCATTTTCGCGCTGTGGAGTAATAACTACTGTGGTAAACTGGGTTTTTACAATTAAAACTTGATACACATAGAAAACATTTGGAGAGAAACACATACATATCCTTTCCTTAATATAGAAAGGCTCTACCTCACATCGTCGCTGAAATGCAGAAAAGCCGTAACTAACTAATTTTTCTGATTCATAAAACTATGTGTGGACGATGAAATGCTTCATAATCAATCAAATAGTGAATTTTAGATTTATAGTTAATTTCGGTGTTTTGTATTGCAGCGACGATGTGAGGTAGGGCCTTCCTATATTAAGGTAACGATTAGTGGTTTACGTCGACAGGCTGTGCGGTGGCGGCGTGGTCAACTTCAATTAGAAGCGGCGGCGGCAGCTAGATTCCAAAGAGCTACGAGGCCACTAATTTTATTATGTCATGTCGTCAGCTTTAGGCATTAGCCATGCCAATTCCCATTATAATTCTATTTAATTAGTTTTAAATTTTAATACTGTTACTTCCTACTTAAGTTAAAATGTTGAATGTTGAGTGCCTGGCGCTGATGTATGGGTGAACAGAAAAAGGTCTGAGGTATATACATAAATACATACATACATATATGGTTATGTATGCTCTTTACAGATCCGTATGCACTATTTAAATTAAAAGAAATTAAAAAAATTAATTGGTTAAAAAGTTAAGATATTGGAGTAATTTATGACGCTATTAATAAATTTTTGTAATAATCTAATCTACCGTTATGTTAAATTATGGAGTTCTTATGATTTTTTGCGGGTTGTAGATAGAAAACAAGGGTAGTCTATTGTTTTTCCAACAGTTTTACCCATCAACTGCCACCAGAGCGGGCCTTTTTGACCCACTGTTTAAAAAATTGCTTATAGATGGTTAAAATTTCCGCTAAAATATTAAGCACCAAATTTTTCTAAGGGTAACCGAATGTAATGAAAAATTATACTAATTTTCACGAAAAAGAGGGAACTTTAATCCTTTGTAGAAACCATTGCGATGCGACGGAGCAAAACCTTTCTGGAATTTGACCACCACTTATGAATGCTAACACAAAATAACTTAGAATGTAAAAATTAGCAAATAAAAAAAGGTTTGGGTTTTATTAAAAATCTGTATAAAAAATATTCAACTCTTAAAGAAAAAAATACGCAAGAAAATCGACTTGATGATACTAGCGTTAAAGGTTTTGATGTGTGATAACTTTCTTGTTGTAGTATATAAAAAATTAATATTTTTGTGGTTGTGTGGTGGAAAAGAATCGTCAGATTCCATTGTTCGGCCCTAATTTAACTGTAATAAACTCGTTCGATCAAAAAACGTGTTTCCTATGTTTTTTCTGAGCTACGCTTTTTTTTGGGGGAAAATTAAGGGAGATCACATTCCTATTCAGGGGCTCAAATTAAGTAAAAAACTTTTTTTTTTTTTATTTATAGAATTCTGGCAAAGGCAGTTGAAATCCTCAGGAGATGCACTTAAAATGTAAAATATTTACAAAAAAAGTTTTATAAACCGTTTTTCATAAAGTTATTCAATATTAGTCCCGTTCGAAGAGCCAACCTAGAGACGCATCTAGAGAACGTTCCTAGTTCACTACTCGTGTAAATTCTCGCTGATTTACGTAAGCATCATCTGCGTTCTTTGGTTCCACCTATTTTTTTTTTATAAAAAGTTATCAAATTCCTTACCTTGAAACTGATAAAAGCCCTTTCTTATTAAGAGTATTTCCCAAATGCATAGAATAGTTTTGATGGTCTGGAAGAAATCTAAAAAATAAATCTCTTTATAGGATAAGGCCTAGTGATTGGAAAAATTATGTATTTCAGGAGAGTAATGCCCGGCTTGTATTTTTTCAGTGGCATCCCAAGCAACGGTCAAACAAACGATGTAAAATTTTAATATTTTTAATGTTTACCGTTATGAAAGTCTCGCATAAACGCTGCTCCATAACAGTTATTATATAAGAAATATGTTTCATTTCGTCGATAAGAGTTATAACCCAACATTTATTTTTTACGTTTCCTGATAACTGTTATGCCAGAGAAATATTTTTTCCGTTGCCGATAAGAGTTATTTTCAAGCGTTTATTTTTGCGTTGCTTGATAAGAGTTATTTTACAACGTTTATTTTTTACGTTGTCTGGTAAACGTTGTAAGATTAGGATATTGAGGAAGATGGAAATAGTGAACCGGATAAAGATGATGAAATAAAAGTGAGAGAGTGAAATAACACTTATCCGACAACGTAAAAATAAACATCGGGCAATAACTGTTATCAAGCAACGAAAAAAATAATCATCGGGCAATAACTGTTATCAAGCAACGTAGAGAATAAACGTTACGAAATAACTCTTATCGGCAACGGAAAAAATAATTCACGTTTAATAACTGTTATGAAACAACGTTTTCGTTAAATTTTAAAATTCTGGCAACGTTGTCAATTTACAAATTCGAGATAACAGTTATTTTTGGTCCCTGATTTTAAGACATACATCCCTTCCTAAATTAGCGCGTTCTGCGTTTTTCTTGTACCTTTGCTTCTCTCTAGCAAAGTGAATTTATACAAATACCTGCTGATAGCCACGCCGAACCCAAGCGAAATACTGAACCCGGAAAATAGGGTATGGTTAAAGTGAATAGATAAGAAAAACGTACTTCAAAGATTTTAACTATGATGACGAACCTTCCGTAGCTATACAGCTCCATCAATGCAAAACGCCCCAGTTGACATTTTGGAAATTTCGCGGAACAAAAAAAAAAAAAACACTTTAAAGTTAACATAGAAAGTGCCTGTACGTAATTCTATTTTATTATGGCTTTAAATTTTTGTTGATATATTGGAGAGGAAAATATAATACGCGAAAAATCGCTTTTCCTTGGTGACGCAGTCGCACACCTACATACGTCTAAAATGAGCTAACTCAAAAATCAGACCCGGATATATAACAGCTTGGGGATCGTACAGATTCAATTATTTTTCATTTATTTTTCAATTATTTCTGATTTGAACGCTGTTTAGATGTAGGTGTGAGATATGTGAAATAGACCTAAGATATGGGTTGTCAGAATTAACCTTACGGTACTAACTATGAAACAAAGCCCCCTCGAACAACGCCAACGTAATGACGTAATTCAGTGTGCTTTGCTTATTGTTCGCTGACAGTTTTTGACATTTTACACGCAAGTCAATCGATAATTTTTCTGCTCGGTCGATATTTTCATTTCTTTTCGGAGTCAAGAGACAAAAAGTGATAGAAAAGGAATTTTTCGTTGGAATTAGCAAAAATATTTAGTTTAATTACGTGGTGACGAGGTGATAAAATACGTAAATGCATAGACTAACTATTAAAGCGAGTTGAGGAGTGCAAGAAAGCAAGGAAACGCTGAAGGCGGAGGAGGAGGAGCGGAGCATACTGCGCGACATTGAAGTTCCATAACTGCTGCAACTGGCGCTGTCGCTGCGCTGCTGTTTGTGTGTCTAGACGAGGAGGAGCGACGAGGGAGCACAAGGAAGAGGGCAAGAGTCGTTGTGGGACACGCACAGCCGCGGAGGCGACGGAAGGAGGCAGAGCAGAAGCGGACAATTGCGATGTTAGCACAAGAAATTAATTT